GACAATAGACAGATTAACAGGAGAAAAAGTTTACACATTAATTAATATGTATAACCATGGGAGCCATATAAAATATGAGACTCAAAAAAGGGCCATATGGTTGAGATTTAAATGTCCTCTTCGTAGGGGAGAGAAAAGTAGGGAGCTGTAACCAACTGAAGAGGGTTAGTAAGCGATTTTCAGAGGAAACGAATGGACCCAGGAGGCAAATATTATTTTGTAAATAATTCTCTTAGGAAACTGAATGGGACTGGCAAGTTAAAGGAAAGAGAGGGGTGGAACTGCCTTGTGAATGAATGCTGTCTTAGTACGTAGAAAGTCTCCTAGATAATCTCTCCAACCTACCCTCAAAAGAATAGTGAAAAGTCTAACTGCATGTAGTGATGACTTTCATAGTCTCTTCTTTTCTCAGATGGATAATCTTTCTGGATTATTTCATGAGATTCCTGTAGCGTGAGTCTTAAGACAATTGCATTTCTTTTGAGAAGTTTCCTTAGTTAGATAAGGAAATTCCAGAGAGAGTCCCTCCTTGCTCTCGAGGTCAAGGGAGAAGAAACAAAAGAGGGTTAAAACATTTTGGGTTCTGAGGCAGCTTCTAAGGTACTCCAACTTCATTTAATTCAAAGTACTCAGTATGCCAAAGCACCACTGTGCGGGGTATCATTTTCTCAGCCCCAACACCATAAACACTAAGAGTAGTTTAGTGGTTACCAGGGATGGCAGCAAGAAGTAATCAAGGGTTACTGATAATGAGCATAAGTTTTCTTTTGGGGGTGAGAGAAATATTCTGGAATTAGATCATGGTGACATTTGCACAACTCTGTGAATATACTTAAAAGCCACTGAATCGTACCCTTTAAATGGATGACTAGTGTATGTGAGTTATATCTCAATTAAAAACAAAAGTCTAGAACTTGACATATAATTCCAAATACTCAAATTAGAAGAGTCTGCTTCTAAGGTAAATAAGTGGAGAGTGGTCACAAGATCTAGAACGGAGGCTATTAGGAGATGAGGAAAATCAGGAATGAGAAGTAGGAAGCCAACTCTTCATAATTTTTTAGGTGAGCAGCAGAGGGAGCCCTTGATAGCAAAGAAAATTACAAAAATAATGTTTATACTTCTGATCATAAAGTTAATACAACCTTTTAACAGAAAATTTGAAAAAGTACCACATAAAGGTAATAAAAACCCACTAATCATTCCACTATCCTAAGAACCACTATTAACATTTCATTGATGCAAATCCTTCCAGTCTTTTTTCTGTGTGTGTACATATGTATGTATGTACATATATAGCCAAATCCACCCACAGCTCTATTGTACATGCAACTTTGCCTCTTATATTTTTCACTTCATGTTACTTTTTATATTTCTTCCAAAGCCTTAAATATTCCTGAGAATGTGGTTTTCCATGCCTACAGATGAACTGTCATTAATTAAGCCTATTTCTAGAATTTTTCAGTCACAAGTAACCCTGCAATAAACATCCTTATACCTAAATCCTTGTATTTCCTAAAATTGTATCTGAAGCAAGGATAGATTCCTTAAGAAGGAATTATTAGGTCAAATATTGTTTATAGCTTTAAGTCTTTGAATACATACATATTGCCACATTTCTAATCAGAAAATTTAAAAGATTGTTATACTTCCATCAGCAGTGGATAAGATTTTCCTTTATCTTGAACTTTTACCCAACTATGTAATTATCAAGGTTTTTTGAAATTTAAAATATTTACTAATTTAATGGATGGAAATTGGTGTCTTTTAAAATTATTTTTAAACAAATAGTGAGCCTGAAATTTTTTCATGATTTACTGTCTAATTTTTTTCTGCTTGTACAAATTACTTTTTTGTGAATATTGAAAATTTTTCTGCTTAGGATATTTAACTTCTAATCATTGACTTCGGAAGCTCTTCACATATTAACCATGTTAACCTTTGTCTTCTATTTTGCCTTTTTTTCAAGTTATTCTTTGCCTTATGCTTTTTTAATCATGAGTTTTGATGTATATGTTTATAATTTTTATGTAAAAACATTCTGTCTTCCGTTTTATAGATTCTTCCTCTACCTTTTTGTTTAAAAAGTGCTTCTATACATTGCGAGTTGATGGATATTTACCATAATTTCTTTTACTCATTTGTGTTTTCATATTTTAAAATTTAATTATTTAATTCATTCAGACTTTATTTAGGGATATGATTTGGGTCTCTTCCCTTAAAAACTGAATTAATTTCCCCAGCACTATTCACTGGCATAATCTTTCATTTCCTTCCCTAATTTGAAGTGTCTTCATCAAATACTAAGTTCTTATATATATTCCAGTGTGTTTAGGGACTCTATTCTCTTCTCTCTGTCTAGTTGTATACCAATATCACGTTATTAAAGCTTTAAAACAGGTTTTTAACATCTGAAGTACAGTTTACCTTGTTTATAAATCTTTATTGGTTATTTTTATCCACAAATTATTCTAGATAAATCTTACAGTCACATTTTCATTCAAAAATATTCCAATTGGGATTTTGATTAGAATCATATTGGATCTAACAATCAATTTGAGAAAAAGTGACATCATCCAATAATATAAAATATGTCTCAATTTATTCAAGCCTGCTTTCATATTAACTAAAGTTTTAGAGCTAAATTGATAGAAGCCCTTTATAAACAAACAAGTTTGTTTCCAGGTTTTATTGTTCTTATTCTTGCTGGTTTTGCTTTGTTTTTCCCCTATTGTAAGAGATCTTTTCCCTCTTTACAATTATTATCTAATTATGGATTTTTTTTATAGTTTGTATCCAGGTATCATAATGAATTTTTTTTTAACCTAATAAAAAAAACCCAAAATATTCTTAAAGAGGCATTAGTGACTCAAAATGGTATTTGATTTTATATGGCCTCCAAAACTACAGTGTTTTTAAAAATCAGGCTTATCGAGTTATAATTTACATACAGTAGAATTCACCCCTTTCAGGCACACAGTTCTACACATTTTTACAAGCATATACAGTCGAGTAGCACCACCTCAATCAAGACAGAATATTTCTGACACCCTGAGAAATTATCTGTGCCCCTTTGAAGTCAATCTCCTTCCTCTCACCCTTAGCCCCTGGCAATCTCTGATTTATTTCTGTCACTAGATATTCTGCATAGCATTTTTGTTTCTCGAGCTTCCAACCGGAGTCAAATTTGGCCAGTAGCAACTAGGACAGACTCCTCTGCTGCTCTTTTGAAAACCACCTTTTCTTTGCTGACAACCAACAGATCAGTCTCCATAGTCAGCAAAGCTGAACTCCAGCTTTAGACACAGGCCAATTCCTCCCGTAAAACTTGGCCTGGCGTCAACTGGGCGGACATGCCCAGACAAGCCTGCTGGGGTAGCCACACCCGCAGGAGGGGGTCCTTACAACATGGAGCACCAGTTGCACACTGTCCCCTTTTGATCTCAGTTCTCTTTTTCAGTTTGGAAGTGTGTGTGTATGTGTGCATGTGTGTGGGTGCATGCATTGCAGAGCCCCAGTATACTTTGACATGTTTTGTGCATCTACAGTGTGAGTAATACACTGGAGGGTAGATGAGCCAGCCCTTTCTGAGAAATACAGTAGTCCTCTTTGAACCTCTCCTCCTCCTGTCATCTGATTGCTGGATGGCGTGAGCCTGTGGTGTACTGGTGAGAGCTGGAAGGTCTGAGACTGGATCACTCCTACTGAGTCAAAATACAACATAAAAACCTTGGGGGGAGGATCTGAGGCTGAGAACCAGCTTCAGAAAATTATAAGTTGCCAAAGAAACACACTTTTAAGCATCACGTCTGAAGCAGTTAGGAAGGTTTTTCACTTTTGTCATTTCTGCTAAGGTCCCCTTTCTCCTCTGACACTTCTTTCCCCAGCTTTCTCCACATGACTTGGGCTGCTTTCCTAGACCCCTTAAATACTGCTGTAAAGAAACCTATCTGTGGTTTTATGTTACCCCATTGGAGTGTTGTCTGTGAATACAGGGCATAAAAGGGGATAAATTGCCTAACTCAATCCACCCTCGAGGCCTGCCACATTAAAAAGATATACCACGGAACTTTGGTCTGCCCTGAAGTGATTGGAAATACTGGGAGACTGCAGAATTTAATGAAAACTCCAAGTCTCACTTGATGCTCTCTGATCTACTCTTGGGCTTATATATAACATTTTATATTTGTCAAGGCCTCCCAACATTCACGGTTAATAACTAGTCCTGGAAGAATATTTATAGCTTATGTTAATTCTTATCCTGGAAACATGCAAGGTTCAAATAGGTGGGAGAAAAGAACATTTGGGTAGGCTTAAATTCAAACCCACAGGCACACCAACTCTACTATCCACCAAAGTCTGCAGCTGATCAGGTAGGGCCTCTTTATCTCAAGCACAAAATATCTGAATGGTACGCTACAAAAAGAAGTTGCCTTACTTATTTCATCCGGTTTTCTCTCTCTCTCTCTCTCTCTTAATATGCCCTGGTTAATTGTTTACTTGCTTGGCAAATTGCTTAGCACTATGTACAGAAAAAGGCACTAGGTTTTTTTTAAAATTGACTCAGAAAACGTTAAAATGGAGAAACTTCCATCTGCTTGCTTGGTCCTTCATGGGGAATTCCACCACTTCCCTTGGTCCAGCTCACTCAAGGCCGGTACCATGACAACTCCTGGTTTGAGAATCACTGATTTAAATGGGATTTGACCACATCTGTCCCCACTTGTGGCTCTCTGCTCTGTAGATTTGCTGACTCACAGAGTCCACCGGCAAAGATGCTGACAGGCATGAACTGGTTGCAGGACACTTGGAAGGCATAGCGGGACATCTGCCTCACCAGCTTCCTTCAGGTGTTCCACTGAGCCCCAGCATTCAAATTTTCATCTGTGGGAGAGGAAGGGAAGGGAAGGCTCTGGTCTGTGGTGCCATAGGATTCCAGCGATGCCTCTTAAGCATCCCCCACCGTTCTCTGATTGTTTCCCACATGCAAAGTGCCAACCTGGTCATGCAACAGTATACACTGTGGTGAACACCAAGCGCCCTCCCATGAGACTTCTGCAGGATTCCAGCACTCCATCCTCCCCCAGCTTCCTGTTTAGGACAGGCCCAGGAGAGGAATGGTGAGGACAAAGTTAAATGTGACTTTTGCTTCATCGTGGGTTCCTTCTTCCCATCCTCCCGGCCATCAGACCCCCTCCTATAAACAGATGTGTGCTCAGATTAGCTACTTTCTGGAAAAACAAGGAAATGATAGTACTAGCAAAACTTTATTGAACTAATGTTTGTCTATGTACCAGGAACTGCGCTAAATACATAACATTTATCTCATTCAATTCTGACAAGACCCCTACACAGACAGGTGTTGCTGCTGCCCCATTTTGTAGACGGGAAAACTGTGGCACAGAGGTGAAAAAGACTTACTTATATGGGTATATTGCATTAAAATTCAAGCCGAGGTTCTGATCCTAATGCCTGTGCTCCAAACTAGAGTCCTCCCATTATAAAGCATTTTGCAATGACTAAAATAGGCACATGAATGAAGATGTATACAGGTCTGCCTGAGAGGAGACGCGAAGCCAAAGCCCAGCTCAGCAAGGTCAGAGAATTTCAGCGTATCTCCATGGGCCGCTGGAAATTCGTCTGGGTGCATTTGTTTTTATAAGCCTGGGTACTGCACAGTCACTTAAAAACATGTGCTTGCCAGAGCAGAACATCATCTGATGGCAGCAACCACCTGGTGCTGGCCACGACTGAGGAGGGAACACATCAGGTGAGTGTGGGCCAACCCTTCCTGCACAGAACAGGAGGGTGGCGGGGTGGGATGTTTGATTTTTAGTGGGAAGGATAAGGAAAGCAGTTCTGAAATGTTTTTCACAGAAATAGAAACTAGTGAAAAAGAAGCTGGCATTTGACTACTTTAGAAAAAAGGGAGGAGGGTAACAGGGAGGCAAGTGATTGGCTGCTGCTGCCAAACTCAATAACTTTAAAAATTGTGTTTGTTCCCCCAAAGAAGTGCATGCCCAAACCACCAAGAGAGGGTAAGTGATGACAAGCAGATCTGCAAGTCCGGGCTCCAGTCACCATAGCAAGCACCCTATCTCACAACAGCCCTGTAACCGGCAAAGTTGCAGCTTCTGCTACAGTGTGTGTGCAAGCAGGTGCCCTCTCCCCTCCCTGTTCGTTCTCCCCTCTCCCCTCTCCCCTCTCCCCTCTCTCATCTCTCCTCTCTCCCTTCAGCCCAGATCCCTCCCTACACCAAGACCGTTCCAGCTGCATGCAATAATCAGGCAAGCAACTTCTAACCTAGCCTAGGGGACTCAGACGAGATAATGCTTAATTTTTCTGCAACGCCTTCTTAAGGCTCCAGGGATCTGTACCCAGGGGTGGAGAACACTTTCCCAGAAGCAGAGCCTGTTTCTCCAGCCCGAGTGTGTGTGCTGCAGAGCTGGGGACCCCACCCTGTATCTAAAGTAATTGCTGTATCTAATGGTGTGGTGCTGCTGACTTCCTTACCAGCTGTAGCTTTCTGTTGCCCGACCCTGTTATTACTGGCTCCTGCTTTATTTCAGGGATGTTAACCTGCTCGTATGTGTCTGCTAGTACCTTGCTGGTAAACTCCATCTTAAAGGTTCTTCAGAGAAGGGCTTTGTGAGTTTTCCTTTTACAGGTCTTTATTGCATTTTTTTTCTCCAGGTTCCTCTCTCTTCCTCCTCTCACTCCTTTCTGCCTGATCAGAGCAGGGGATGTTAGCTTTTCTTACGGACACCTTAGTCACATTATATGAGAATATGTTGTTCTAAGAACCTGCCCCTAGGTCACAGATTCGGACCTGTGGAAACGGCCTAGGCTATTCTGAAATGCTCAGATGGGGTTCCAGCATTCAGCCTCCAGCTAAGCTCCATCCTTGTGAGCTGTAAGTTGGAATGAGTAAGTAGGCTAGACATCTAATCCTCCCTGTGCCAGCATCCCACCTGAAGGGCATGGCAGAGAAAGGGGAGCATGGGGACCCAACTCATTCACCATCAACAGGTCTTGTTCATTTCTTTTCTCTAGGAAAAAGCAACACTTCTCTCCATCTGCGCGAGTGGACGCCAAAGGCCCGTTTATTGTAAGCACGCTTTTCTCCTCTGCACAGAGTGCTGTCATTGCGGCCCTATCTGTGCCATGGACCCACACAGTTCCACAGAAGACCACCAGGGGCTCAGGTGTTCTTTCATCCAAGTAGTTCCAATATCCTCAACCACTACGGTAAGATGTCTACATGGCAAGTTAATTCAGGCATAAAATACAGTGCGGGCAGCATATGTGGGTGGTCTCCAACCAGTTCTGGTGGCTGCTTGGACCACTTCATAGAGACTTGTTCCAAAGAACAAGGAGAGAGCTTTGTGAAGTGCTTTGACTCCCACTGAAATGGCTGCTACAAGAGGTTATTTCTCACTGTAGGAGGATTTGGGAATAGGGATAAGGGATAGGAGATTATAAAGCCAGACTAAGTCCAGCCCGTTTTGACCTTTTTTTTTTTTTTTTTGGAGACGGAGTCTTACTCTGTCACCCAGGCTGGAGTGCAGTGGTGTGATCTTGGCTCACTGCAACCTCTGCCCCACCAGGTTTAAGCAATCTCTGCCTCAGCCTCCGGAGTATCTGGGATTACAGGCGCATTCCACCACGCCCGGCTAATTTTCTTGTATTTTTAGTAGAGACAGGGTTTCACCATCTTGGCCAGGCTGGTCTTGAACTTCTGACCTCATGATCCACCCACCTCAGCCTCCCAAAGTGCTGGGATTACAGGTGTGAGCCACCGTGTCCAGCCCGTTTTGATGTTTTGTGGCCTTGGGTGTTTCTGAACTACAGTTTTCTTATCCATACAATGAAGACTGAACACACCCTATAGAACTATAGTGAGGTTCACATTACCTAATGTGAGAAATCGCTTTGTAAACTGGAAAACACCACAAATAAAAAGAGGCTATTGTTATTGGGTTTATTATTCTGAGGCAGGAGAACCAAGGTATAAAAAAGAGAAGTAAGAGTTAGATATCACACAGTCTGAGATGCTGGGAGAACAACACGAGCCTCTATAGAGCCTCCTAGGACCTTTCTTCTGGAATGTTCTACGATGACAGTGGTAGAAATGGGGGGCAGCACTGCTCTTGTTAATGATAAAATGGGCAATTCTGCAATTCTATCAGCTGTGCTAGAACTCAGTCCAGATCATTTTATTGCTAACCCTCGAATCACCTGACTAGTTATCAGTTCATTGGAAAGAGAGTGTAGTGCTAAGAGCATGGACCATGGGACCTGGCTACCTGGATGTGAGCCCATCTCTGTGTCCCTCTAACTAGACAATTAGAAGTAAGTGACATGACTCATCTGTGTTTCAGTATACCCATTTATAACATGGAGATGATAATACTGTCTACTTCATAGTGTGAGAATAAATTGAAAAAGAAATGGAAGGTACTTCAAAAAACTTCTGACAAGTATTAATAGTAAGCTAAGTGTAGCTACTATTGCTTTCCAATAAAAAAGCCCACTCTTAAAAATAAAATGTGTGTTCTAAATTGTAGGAGGAGATGGATTCTTCAGGCACGATGGAGAATAAATCCAATCCCTCTTCCTCCACTCTAGCGTGAAGGGTCTGCTGCCAAAATAAGTTAGATTACAGAGTCTGGTGGAGCTAATATAGTGTGCATATGTACTTTGATCCTGAAAATAAGGAGTGGCAACATTTCCTCTCGCTGGTAGAGCCCAAAACTAGATAAAAACAGGCAGTGTGGCTGAATCTGCGCTCCTGCATCAACTGCTATGTGACTGTGGATGCCTGACTTCTCTCTGTGCCTCACTTCCTAAACTTGCAATGGAATAACAATAGTATCTGCCCTGTAGGGTTGTTGTTTAGAGCAGTCACTGAATAGCTACACAATACAATTCAGCTATTATTGTTATTAGGATACCATTTGCCATTACCCAACTTTGTGATTCGGGATCTTAAGAAATTGCATAAATTTCATCTTTCAAGTTAAAGTAGAAGAACCAAAACCCAAATAAATGTAACCTAAAGCCATATGTTTTGTTAAAGACAAGGAAAGGAAATGCCACATCATTATAACCATGTTGTTTGGTCATACAGTATGACAGTATCTACAATCATCAATTCATGTCACTTTTTAAAAAATTACAGTGGGTTATTTGAATTAGAAAGCATTTCCATACATGAAAGCTTAATCCCCCTTAGACATTCCTCAATGTTCACAAACAAACTGACCTGGCAGGCATGGGTGTTCCTAGTCTTTGTGTTTAACATCAGATGTGGACAATAAGGGTAATAAACAATGTCTACTGATTCTGGTCATTCTGAAGTGCCACTTTTTTTTTTTTTCAGTTTCACTGGAGCTTGGCACACCTTCATATTTAGAGGCAATGTATCCTCAAGGATCACTCATCAGAATATTTGCACAAACTCATAAGTGGCAAGAACTGAAAATGCCTTGTGATTTTCAAAGTTTTAAAATAGTCCTACGGGACTGGTGACCTCAGGCAGGTCAGCCATCGAGTTTGGAATCTGACACTAAAAGTCATAAAGTGAGTCAACTGAGTCAGAGAGGATGAAACAGCATTATTTTTCTCTTCTGGCTTCTCTAGTAAAGCAAAAGTTTTGGTGTTAGGGCTGTCTCTGAAGATAGGCAGTTTGGTTTCCAACACGCTGGGAGCATTCCTGGAGAATGCTGAAAAGCAGAATAGGCTGCCAGAGTCCAAGAGCCGGTATCAGTAAAGTTAGCACAAGATTTAATAGACTAGAACATACCTGCCCAATCCATTTCTCCAGCCTGATAATCCAGGGCAATTAAGAAAAATTGCCCTGGTATTTTTAGCATTTTTAAAGTTTCATCTGGGCAAACATAGAAATGGATAACTATGTTATCCAGACCTTACCACTGTTTGTTTTTGAGACTCTAAGATTAAACTAAAGACCGGCCCAGCACAGCAGATATGTTTGCCCTTGGCTGAGAGGAGACAGAAACTTGGGAAGAAACAAGGGTCTTTGGAGTTACTGGGCTTCCATGAGGATCCTCAAGGTTTGCAAACACCAAATGGACAGGACTCCATCCCTGATGTGCAGGCCAGTCCTACCTCCTTCACAATGACGTGCTAACATCATGGTGCAAATTTGCAAATATTTTTTTGCCTTATTAAGAA